GGCGTGCAGGCCTGTCCTGCACAGCTCTGGAGATCTGTGCAGCAAGACCTTGCACAACATTAAAAACACCCAAGAAATCGAAGCGCTTCTGGCGTGCAGGCCTGTCCTGCACAGCTCTGGAGACCTGTCCACGCAAGACCTTGCACAACAGCAAAAACACCCAAGAAATCGAAGCGCTCCTGGCGTGCAAGCCTGTCCTGCACAGCTCTGGAGATCTGTGCAGCAAGACCTTGCACAACATCAAAAACACGCAAGAAACTGAAGCACTTGCGGCGTGCAGGCCTGTTCTGCACAGCTGTGGAGACTTGTGCACGCAAGACCTCCTCGCACAACATCAAAAAACACACAAGAAAGCGAAGCCGCGCTGGCGTGCGGAGCTGTCTCAGACAGGTCTGGACGCCTGTGCGCGCACGATCTTGCACACTCTGGACAGCTGTGCGCGCAAAATCTGCACAACATCAGAAAACACGCGAGAAATCGAAGCACTTGAGGCGTGCAGGTGTGTCTTGCATAGGTCTGGAGACTTGTGCACGCACGACGTTGCACATTCTAGAGAGCTGCGCACGCGACGCCTTGCACAGTAGCAACCACGTGCACAAGCCTGGGACGCCTGTGCTTGGTCTTGTTACAATGCAAGGAATCGACACACACACACACACACCTCAGAAAGGCCTTGAGAACTGAGAGAGCGCAGCGTCTAAAAAAAAGGCCTCCGATGCATATTAATGACTGCAGAAGACACGCCGACCACCTGTCCGAAGATGAAGCCACAAAGCAACCAACAACAATTTCGACACGTAAAAATATCAAAGCGAATAGGAAGGCTCTACCTATCAATCACGATCAGAGTCTAAGTCTCTTCAAATCAGCACAATGATGGCGCCAAGATTATGACTCAGCTGCGAAGTAGCTTGCAGCTTCTCGGTGAGAAGTCAGAGGATAAGTCGACACTGCTGATAGATGACGAATTGCGTCATCATCTAACTCTTTAAGTGCCTCAATAGCCTTTATGTCCCACGCTGTTCTTGTTTTTCCCTCATGCTCCCTATCGTACCGGGCGACTGCGTCTTTGATAAAGTTCGCATATTTTTCGCGAATTACTTGCGCGACATCCGCAGAAACGTCACGACCTGTACCATTTTCGTCGCTTTTAACCCAATGGCTCAAAATGAAACGCGACCGCAAAATGAAAACTTCGATGTTGTACCTGTGGCAATTATATTGAGAGTGTAATACTAGCAATACGTTGTCGATGAAGTTGTAGCAACGTTTTAAGATAATGCCTCCCCCTTTCCACCAAGAATTGAGGACCAAGCTTCACCCATTCCCCACCGGTGAAAGGAAAAATGTAAGTAATAGGAAATAAACAAAAACAATGACTACAATCTAGGCATTTTGAAAGTTCTTGTGTGAAGCTGATGCGTATAATCACAAGTAAGGCTTTACCAGGCGAGCATCGGCATAGTCTCCGAAATCGCTCGCTGGTATCGTCTTGTGCTAAATTGCACTAGAAATAGATCACACGCCCACTTTTGCCAAGGCTTTCCTTTACCGCGACTGCCTCGTAAACACCAGAAAAATCGACATCCCTCAGGAGTTGCATCGCTCGCAGCCTCCGCACAAAGTCGATCTGATAGACGACCTTGCCGCTCATACAGACGCTCCTGATAAACACCTCCCCAAGTTCCGTCAACCATCTGCCACTCAGGATGAAGAGGAGCATTGAAACTTTGAAGAGTTCTGTCTTGTTGGGCTAGTAGCTGCCTCAACTCCTCTTGTGTCAAATTGAGGAAGTCCGGCCCCTCATCTGACGCTCGAACACGCCACGCAGGATGGTCATCATGGTCAGCATTCAGAGGGTCTCGAGTCTCTTGTTCAGATGCGTTCACCATAGGAAGATTGTCAACAGCAAAACCAAATAGATCCGTACTTCGCCCCGGTCGACTCCGGTTCGGAAAAAAAAGATCACGCTGCCACTTATCGATCTTCGCCTGTGGATCAGGAGTTTCGTTACGCCTCTTTTCTGGCGTGATTTGTTGCATGTCGTAGAACACGGCATGAAGGTGATCATCTTTGGAAACGAAGGGACACTCCTCACAACCTGCAAAAGCAATCTCATCTGAGACCCCGTCAACCTGATGAGCATCTGCACTCCTGCGGGAGGAAGAAGCTTGGCGCACTAAACCTCCCTGAGCAGGTCTTCGACGTGAATGATGTACGCAGTTCGTGTTTATCTCATCTAGCAACTCGTATTTTGCCATGTAGAAAGAGACGTCGGCCATACTTTCAACACTATTGATAGCATCAGCTCGAGTAAAACCTTTCCACCGTAAATGATGCACAGGAAGAACACATCTCAAATCGCTTCGAAACTCATCAGAAGACAAACTACCAGACTGATTTTCTCTGCCTTCAAGTTTGCCACCTACATACTCTTTTGCTGCTCTTGAAGAAGATGACGAAGTGGAAAACGGATTAGCAGAATCTTCAGCTTGCACACGTTGGCACGATGCTTCGGGCATAACCCACGTCAATTCGAACAACATCGCGCGATCCGGTCGGCAAAGATCCCAACAAACAAGAAAGACTCGCGAAGATGGTTCATCTTCGTCGTCCAACAAACCAAGTTCGTTCGCGCTACAACCACGTCCAGTAGCGAAGAAATCATCCAAGTCGTTTTTCTCATCATCGCTCTCCTTCACGTTGGTCTTCGTCTTCATCGTCTGCTGTACTTCCTCTTCCACCTTGCCTCGTCTATGGACTACTACTACAAGATCTCGAGTAATATCAGCAAGCCAATTTGTCCGATCAGACTGCTGCTGATCTTTTCTTGCTTCTTCTGCTGGTGTCTCTTTCTGTGGCACTGCTGCACCTTCTGTCACCGAACCGCTTGAATCTTTCACCTTACTTTTAGCCTTTCCTCTTGGCCTTCCTTTTGCCTTTGCTTTTGATTTCGGTGCTGCTCCTTCTGCTTTCTTACTTTTGCCGGTTGATGCACTATTTTCTTCAAGGCCATTCTCAGTAGAAGTAGACGAGTTGTTCATTCTCGATGGATTCCCCGTTGATGCTGAAAAAGCGTTACCACTCGTACTAAGTAGATTACTACTCGACGAAGATGATGCCTGTGCATTGTCACCTAGAGCGGGATTTTCTACCTCTTGGTAATTTGTTCTCCACGTCTGTGGAGGTCCAAGGCTTCAATTTTTCTGCAGTAAGATGCCCTCTTTTTGCAGTTTCAACCTCGACTCGCGAATGACGCCAATTCCTTGAGATAAAACGTTTGCAGACTTCATGTATCGGAACGAAATGAGCTCCGCCTCCTCGATGTGGCATATGTGGTCGAGGGGTAAAACGTACCACGCGACACAGGAAGTTAAGGCTGCACCAGCACAGCGAACTTGTCGAACAGTACCAAGCAACGACTTCACAGTATCCGAATCATACAACTGGAACACACGGCTCTGCAGTTTGTCAAGCCTCTGCTTCGCGCGTCGCTCGACAATAATGGATGGCGAAGACTTGTTGATCATTCTATTCATTTCAGCGAATAGACCGGCATCCTGGGTAAGTTTCTCTGCACTAGCTTCTTTCGCGATTTTCGCCCATGCAGCCTTTTGCTTAGGTGGTAACTTCTTCCACTCACTATAGTCGTTAAAACTTCTCCCAACTTTCCAGAAATCCGACGCAGCTACTCTTTTTCGTTCTTTCGCTATCTCCTTCTCGAAAATCTTTGGCTGTTGCTGGAATTCTTTCAAAGCTTTGTCTACGCCACTTTTTTCTTTTTTCACTGCTAACGCTTGCGCACTAGTAGAAACATTCGCTTGATTTCTCCAATTTCCCATACGAAATTGCCGCTGTGATGATTTCGGGTTTCGATGTGTTCGCTCACACTCCAACGTCGTGTCCCCCCAAACTTGATGCATGATGGATAAGCCATCTAGATGCTCGATAAGAACCGAACCCCTGTCAAGCATGAAATGATCTGCGCGCCCACATCTCTGGTTCGGGCAAGAAGATGCTGAAGAAGATGTCGACGAGGCTGACAAAGTGCTAGTACTATTCGTATCCTCGGTTTTGATTCGGCTTTGTCCATCGTCTCCATTTAGTCGATGCATAAGCTCGAGCAAGTTCACGCTACACATGAATGAAGCCTTGTGGTCGGTACTAGTGCCAAACAGTTCAGCGAATGGATGTTGTTGCGCTTCTGCTCTAGGAGTATCTTCTCGCATCAATGGCCATCGCAAACACATCTCGAGCCAGCGCCGCTTCGCTGCATAGGATCTTCCAGCTGTGCTATACGCGCTGCAAAGTTTCTCCATAGAATCAAAGGATGTTGCTCTATAGACTGCCCCACCTAAACTCCACAACCCTCTAGCGCAGCTCTCTCGCAACTTGTTGTATTCTGTTGCTTGTAGGTACCCAAATTTGCCAGCAATATGCTGCATATCAAAGGCGAACTTTTTCCGCAATCGGCTCACGCCCTCCGACATTCCTGCGTCAAACGCATGCACTACGCCAGTCGTCGTCCCAGAATGATGATGCGTGATCATTTGCTGATGCGTCGAAGGAAGGGACACGATGTGCCCCACAGGAGAAAATCTATACAAACGTCGGAAATCGTTACAGTTGAAAGTAACCATCTCTCCCACTCCTACATGGTAGGCAGATCCGGAAAGAAGGGCAGGAGTGTTCAAAAATCCCGAAGCACAAAACGAATAGTAGGAGCGAGGCACCTGCAAGAATCTTGTGAACGTCTGCGCAACCCAAGACCGTGACGTTGCAAACAACATTCGACAAAACTGCGCTACCCAATCTACTGCATCTTCTCGAGTACAAGACGCCCCTGGTGTAAAGAAAATCAAACAACGAAATGAAAATAATCGCGAGGAAGTAAAGTAGAAGTAAAAAGAGCCTGTATACGACATTGACTGACGAGAAGAATAAACTTATAATAATACTTATTGATCCCACGCCCGTTCTTCATTATACAAAATAGCGGTGACTCTGTAGGGATACCATCATAGTAAAATGTCCGCTCGAACGTGTCGGGACAAGTGCCTTCGTCTCTGTGGATGATAGGCGTTGGCTCGTCCATGAAAGGAGTCTGATAGAACGAATGAAAATCCCACGCTTCCTGCAGCCGCTCATAAAACTCCTCTCTTTCACGCGAATCCAATGCACTAAAATCTACCTGCGTCGCCCAACCTTGGTTATCTCTATCGCGTATCGTATCGTCAAGACAATTTTTCCTGTGGAAAGTTGAAATCTTAAATCATGAAGGGTCTATTTTAAGTAAAAACTATTTAACATTGTAACTTACGACGACACGAAGAAGCTACACTAAGATCCCATAGAAGTTCTTGGTTGTCAGCAGTATACTAAAAATGCCTGATGTTGATGATCCTCTGAGGAAACAATAAAAACTACAAGACTAGTAATTATTAAGTAAAAAATAGTGTATATGTACATACGAGCACGTATTGCCCCAGTCCATAGGCGAAGCACAGACTCGAAAGTGTTAACTCCCGAATACAACTCCGACCGCACAATGCACTTCTCTGTGGCCTCTTTTAGTGATGTGGCTGCTGCATGAATACGACACCACGTCGTCGTTATGCTTACATAAACCTTCTTCCCCATCTGCTTCAGCACTCGGTTCATTCGTCGAACATAAGTAACGCATATGTATAGAGCTGGAAGGCTCTTTCGATCTCCTACTCCATTCAGGTGCAAGTTGCGAGTTTTCTTCGATGCTAGAGCAGCTCTGATCGTTTTTCTGATTTCACCACAGATAGACTGTGCAATCCGTAACGAGTCGCTTTCTCCATGTGCTCCTTCCCCGAGAATGGAGGAAGCGTCATATAGTCGCATGGTTGCATGGGTCCGCCAGTACTCCCGCACAACGACAACGTGACGCAAAACTCCTAGAGCAGCCGCTATTCCTCCTGTTTTCAGTGTCCCCGCTCCAATGGTAGCGCCGTGTATCACTCGCTCCGCATGTTGTTCGTATTGTCGCTTCTGAAAGTAGTTGCTGTCGTTGTAGCACGAGGAATTGTTACTACTAGCCACTGAGTGCTTCGATCGCTTCGTTGAATTCGTAAGAAGCAACCTCTCCTCTTTTGAAAATGCTAGGTCGTCGCGATGCTGTCGTGTCGTAGAACGTTCCCGATTTTGTTGCTGAGGTTTCTCTTGTTGGCATGATGATGAGGAAGACGACCCCACTGCTGCAGCAGATGTTCGACCATCTAGTCCCAGAAGATAAATATCCTCGGCCGATCCAGGTGCTGCGTGTATACTTGACGGACGGGGAGGCCCGTTGTTGCCTGGATTGATCACCGACACACCGAAAGCATCTGCAAGCGCAGAAACGCACTGATTCCGAGCCTGTTGAAACTCTTCTTCATCCTGTGGCATCCGCCACTCACGATAAAGATTACGACCAAGAAACTGGCAAGTCTCGTCCGAGGTGTCTCGCAAGTGTTCTTTACGCTTTCGCGAATTCTCCTCCATGAAGGCTGCGTGCATCGTCTGCAACTCTTGCTGTAGAGTACTACTAGAAGAAGAAATGACTCTTGTGGTGGAAAATTTCTGACCTTGTTGTTTGCTGATTCCTTGCCGCTGACGAGATGGCGCTAACCTCGTCCCTCCAATTACAACTTTACTTGAAGCAGCACCACAACCATCACCGAATGGACCAAGAGAAGAATCTTGCAGAAGACGATCCTCGCTTCCTCTGTTCAAGTCTTTTTCTTCATCACCCCCACCAGGCTCAGGCGAAGACGATGATGAACACGAGCACGAAGCTTCTATTTCTACTTCTTCTTCCACTTCTGTTTCAACGTCTACACTAACCCAATCAGGAACGTCCCCTTCGTGTAAAAGATCGTCTTCTAGATTTCGAAGCTGCCGTCTTACAGTCACCTTTTTCATGACTGTAACCTTTTTTGTTACTTTTTTTCTCCTTCTAGTACTCGGAAGAGTTATCTTCTTTTTTTGAGTCGTCAGGAGTTTTCGTTTTCCCCGTCGTTTTCCTCCACGGCCCCATATCTTGTCTCTTCTAGTTTCCGGATCTTTCTGCACTACATTAGATTCGCGCTCGACGATACTTGATCCCCAGCGAAGAGACAAAGAGCAAGAATTTGATTTGCTTGTACTTGAAGAAGAAGAACTTCCCAGAGCATCTGCCGGCTCTCTTTCCACCTCGACTGCAGATGTTGAAGGCTGCACTGGCTCGTGTGTTACTTCTACTTCTTGAAACATGGTGTATGTGGCGGAGACTATTGAAACCATTTTGTTTCGCCTGTCAGTCTGCTGAACAGCCTTCTCGTACAAGCGCCTGCCCCGCGCTTTCGCTTTCGGATCAGCTTGTGCTTTTGCTTCTGTGTTGCGTGTCGATGAAGCATCGAGTCCTGTAATTATTCGCGTCAGAGTTCATTTATTTTAGATGAAACGCTTTTCATAATATCAAGCTCAGACATCAAGATCAAGCATTATTAATATGCTCTAGTAGGTCATAGTCTACTAACTCAGTAAAATACTAAATGATAAAACATACCCGAGTCTTCTGGCTGCTTCTGCGCCGACATGTTGATGTCTCCAATCACACTAGAAATCCTATCTGTTAGGTCAAATTCATCTACTTCCCAGCGACGTCCTGCATTCACTGAATTTCGAACAATTTCAGTACTTTCTTCTTCCAGCGCGTAGTTGAACAAGACTGCACCCATCATGTTGATATCCCTTTCCTTGTCGTTGCTTGGTCTATGACCATCGAAGAAGGGAAACAACTCATGCGGGCGATCTACTACTTCTCGCACGGTTTCGCCAAGTTGTCCGACAGTATGGCGAAGATTATTGAGAGGCTCTTGAATGTCAAGAGCTATTTCTTCCACGACGTCATCACTCATACCATCAAGCAACTCCTCCACGCTATTGCGTTGCGGCAGTCTCTCGGCTCCTGGAGGACCGTCTCGACTCGCTTGCTCTCGTGCTTCTACTTCCGCTTGACGCTGATTTTTTCGCTTACGTCTTTCATGTTTTTTATTCGGGTGCAACCCCAATTCGAGAAGCCACTTGCGCAGCCTCTCTTCGTTCGGTATCTGTGTGCTTTCCCCTTCGATAGCGTCACTCTTCACGGATGAAAAATTTGGAAGAAGTATGTCGGGAGGGCTGCTACTTGCTTGAGATGTTGGGGATAGCGCCTGACTATCGTGAAGCGCGTCTTGCTCCAACATTGGCTCATCTTCGTCTTCAGGAAGTAACCTTTCTTCTGCATGAACGTTTCCGCCGTCGTCTGACGAAGACCCCCAGCTGCAAACATCCCAGAAGGTGGTCTGTTTCTTACGAGATCCATCAGGAAGCAAAATGCTCATTTTGTTTTTATCTACATGCTTAAATTGTTTACCGATGGCTCATAATTGTTCTTGATGTTGCATGATGAATCTATCTCACATAAAACAAATTGACTTCTCGCCAGAAAAACACGATCGATCCTACAGCAAAACAGTGCCACTTTCTAATCTGAAGCAGCTTCTTTATGATAATAGTGGTAGCAAGACCACTCTTCCTTTTATTTGAGAAAAATTATCTATGCCAGGACCAGAGAAAATAAAGAATGCACTCCTATCACGTCACAGTGCAAAACAATTTTGCCTGTTGTGCTTGCTACTCCTCTCCCTCTGTTGGAGTAAATCATGACGAGTCCGAACATCAAGGCCGTGACCTCCTGCCTACGTTCGAATAAAAAGCCAGATGCCACCACAATCTTCAACATCGTGTTGAAAGCAACTAGTTAAAAACTCCAAACGCCTCTGCTGCAGCAATGCTATGAATTCCTACCATCAAGCATCAGAAAGCTTCAATCTCAACTGGTGGCCGTAGCAACAATTATAATAGATATAGATGATTTATAAAAATTGCAGTACAATAAATGAATGCTGGAAACTCATTTTTAGCATTTTGCATTTTCTAAAGACCTCTCAGCTATTACACGACTTGAGGTACTCATGTCAAAGAAACAAGAATACTATTAATAAACGACGCATCATCATGCACAAGTTGTCCGCAAGTTCTGAAGAGCAACAACATGCATTAGCACATCTTTACATAGGAAGTTTTAGGTCTATTTCTTTCCCCACTGTGCAGTCTGCTCTTTCAAATTGCTTAAGCCAAACACACCAAAACGCGCAGCACGATTGTAAATCTCCCATAGCAAAATGTTCGAGGAATAAACCAGCGCACCCGCATGATCGCACGACACCTGATGACATTCTATTATGAAGAGTATGAAGGATTATAGTAGTAGGGCAAGAAGAAGCATGTAGAGAGATTCGAAGTGGAAAAATGTAGAGCAGACGATTAAAGACATGACCATGCTGAATAAGAATGTTGAGGACTACATATTAACGCTTAGAAGTATCTGCTAATACTGAAAAGAAACCTCTCTACTGCTCTAATAGACATCACGAGCGTAGTAGTAGTACTTGATAGTATGGCATTTTGTTCCGTATCATACAAGGCATCGCTTCCCGCTTATATACGCGAAACGGCCCACCCACCAGCTCCGTTATTGATTCAGCCATGATGCCCCTCTTCAAATGATCAGCTTCTTCTCGAAAATACAAGTAGGAAAATAATTCCATCGTCGCGGACGTAGTGCTTGGAAGATGTTTGTTGGCCATCACAACGAAATCAAGCGTGCGCCTCCTGTTCGTCCTTGTTGACGGAGCGACTGCGTCACAGTATGGCGACGCGTCCACTCGGCGCCTATTAACTAATCCACATGCTGCACAATGACTCAGAACCGACGCGCTAGACTGTGCCGGGCATTGTTGACGACGTTGCAAGTCTCGCAATACTTCTTCAAACAGTTTTTGTTCTTCTACATTCAAGACTTCAAGTAGACGCCCAGACATCTTAATACTATTACTTTCTTGGATGGAACAGTTAGTTTTTGATAACCCGCACTGCGTCCCGTCCTCACGACGAACACCAGGCGGAGCTGCATGCAATTCTTCTTGAAGTGCTACGAGCTGATTCTGTTGTCCTCTGTGTTCTTCTACAACTTGCACACCGTCCGCAACTCTACTGAGATGGTCGATCTTTCTTCTTTTCCCATTACAATCTTCGAAACGAAGAACATCACTGTGAGAGCGGTAGTTTCTCCTTTGATGTTGTAGCTTCTTGTTTTTAGCCACACCAGTTTCCTCAACATTAACCACATGCCCGCAAGACTTACTTCTTGCTCTGCCAACGCCGCCACAAATCGACGATCCATGATTTTTCATAACAAGCTGCGAGCTCTCGACGTCCTTATCGCAACTCGTCTGGCTCTGAAGATCATGCTGGTGCTGCTCCAACGAAGAAGCAGAATCAGATGAAGTTGTACTGCTTAACGAAGATGTAGAAGATGACGAAGAAGAAACCGAAAGTCGTTTTCTTGTCCCGTAGTTTCCGCCTGCGATGCGGCTGTCTCTTCTTGTCGTACTCGGAGCTGTGACCTAAAAGAGTATGAGCGACGTGCCGTTATCTGATAAAAAGAATGTAAAGGATATTGTATATGATCACATCATATTTGTTATAGTCGACGAGGAGGTTTCTAGAACCGTAAAAATAACGACGATGAGCAAGTTTCTGAGCCAAGAAGACCAGGAAAATCATGATTTTCATAGCAGTTTCCTATGCGTTGTAGAAGTACCATCAAGAATAACAACGCAAACCCATGTCTTAAGTATAGATGATTCAAGATGAAAAGGCACAACATGAAAAGGATCGCCTTAACTTTCGAGGTACCTTCTTCGCCTCGCTATGCTCCTGCAAATGAGGCGTCTTCTTGTAGTTAGAAGTATAGCTGCAGCTAGTGGCCATCGTCGTCGCCACTTGCCTACTCTTCTGCTTCAAGCTAGGAAAGTATGTCTCCGCTAATTGTTGCGACGACTGAAAAATCATGCTCGTACTGTGTTCAAAAAACATATCACTGAGGCAAAGTCTCCTGTCGTCATGATTGTTATTCTGAGTCGAATGATGAAAAGAAGGCCTGCCACGTTCTTGTAATTTTTGTGGTCGACATGGTCTGTGCACATCGTCAGAACGTGCATTACGACCCAATGCTTCACCTATTTCAGCAAAAAAGTCTTCATCTGGTTCTGCAGTAGGGTCTTCGTCATGATGTTCGCCTCCCCGTTCTCGTCGTGCACGAGGATGAGACCCACTACCTGGCTCTTCGGCGTCACGACTCATATCCCTCGCAGTCTCAACGAGCACCCGGCTGACGTGTTTGTTGCCCCTTGAGCTGGATAGTGAAGGAGTTGCAGTAGAAGCATCTGGAGACGCATCAGCATGTTGATTAACAGAACCACCTGTAGAGCAGGGCTCTTTATCCTGTTCATCTTCACCTAGTCGCTTACTTTGACGACGGTCCTCCCCTTTTCGTACAGTAATAGGCTCTGCGCGAGACGATCGAACAAGAGGACCTGAAGAAGAAGCACAAACCATAATTATTCAAGAACGACTTAAAATAATTATGCATGTTGATATGATCATAATAAATTAAAGAAAATAGAAACAGTCCATCTACAAGTCTTACAGCTAAGCTGTTAGTTTATGTTAGTAAATAACTAAGGTGGAACTACTTTGAAGAATCATACTGAAAAAAATTAGATGTCACAAGAACAGGCGTGAACACTCAGCAAGCACATCGATCAAAAACAGCTACCATGACTGACTGGCATTAAGATGATAAAGGTCTACTTCTTTGTTAGTGTTTAACTTCTTCGATTCCGAGCCTATGGCCTATACAATGAACAAGATGAACCCGACCTCGCCCTGGTCTACTTTCTATGGTTTCATGATTTCTATAGAAATTATACCACCAGAGAGGCGCTCTTCTTTTCCTGCAGTCGCAACAGCAACAAGTCTCGTCGTTTCCGTCGGTGGTTTATCCTCAAGCATTATCTCTTTGCGGCCCTTGCCATGATAATTAGAAGAACTATCCTGCTTCTTCTTCGACATGAATCGACTGTCTTGGGATGAGCCTACGTCTCCCTCATCATAGTTGTGGAAGAAGAACTATCGTAGTCAAAATTCATAACGCGTCTATCCGAGCCACCATGACCCACGAGAGTCTGACTCTCATCCTGCTGAGTTGTTTCTCCTAGTGCCTTCGTGGTAATGTCAGTCGCCTCGCTAGACTTATCGCCCAAGAAGATGTCCTTATCTAGCATCATATACATACTCGGTAGCGATGAATTTCCACCATCAGTAGACCGCGACGGTTCTAACATCACAGGCCCTGCATCTGTTGCCCGCCCCTGTGATGTCATCTCTCCAACACCAGCAAGAACACGGCTAGTAAGACGAGGACCAGCTATCGCTCCTGCTGCGCCTGAAGATGGACAAGACGACGCAGGCCCTCGTCCTGCTCCTCCTTCTCCTGAGTAGACTTCTGAGAATGTTGATGAGTTTTCCATCTTCATCATCTTCAAAGAGCAAGAAACATTTTTACTACTAGATGGCGACGAAGTAGCTGCTGCTCTTGTAGAAGACGACTCCATCTTGTAGTTCTTCTTGAATACATCACGAGTATTATTCAGTATAGAAGTAGGAGTAGCGCTAGCACCACAAGAAGAATGCATCAAGTCACTACTTCTTCTAGTAGGACGAAGAAGCTCCCCATGTTGCTCTTTCAAAATCGGCTGTCCCTGCTGGACGCCATTTTCATCATTACTCGCTGCCGAGCACGCTTCTGTAGTTGAGGAGGAGCTAGAAGCAACATCAGCACAAACAAGTTGTTGCTTTTTCATTTTCGTCATGCTTGTACTAGTTACTTTCCCACCATGCGAAGTCCATTTGCAGCCAGCACTATTATGCATGTGCTGCTGCTTGTATAATGATGGTTTTATTTTGTTTTCGGCTTGTGAAGTGCTAATACTATTCATCGCCATCGTTCTTATCGTCGGCGTATCATCTTCATGCTTCTGCGAGGGTAGTGAGAACGTCTTTGAGGATGGCACCGACGTGGTCAACGTCCCTTCTGTGTCCTGACGATGTCGCCCACTAGTGGTCTTTGGGCCTACAGATACTGGCGCTTCTTGGTCCAGTGTAGATGAATACGCCGAAGACGCCCAAGAAAACAACTCGCTGCTGCTTCTCTTCTCGCCCGGCTGCTCCTGATGAAGATGAAGCTTTTTACTCTCGATTTTTTCCTGTAGTACTTGTTTTTCTACTTGTTCTCTTTCGGTCCTCATCTTAGAAGAAACAATACTACTACTAGTAGATGACTGCTTTTCTACAACCACCGACGAAGAACAGCTACGCAACGTGCTCGCGCCCTCATTCTTCGACGTCTTCATATCCTGCAGCATGCCAAGTATTCGCTTTTGTTCATCATAATGCGCTTCGACTTTCGTGGGAGACTCTAACTGTCTTTCTCGTTCTTCAGCAGTGTTGATCAAAGGGAGTCCTGCTCCTGCATTTTTCTGCACGCTCTTTTTGCAGACTCTTTTCGCTCCTCCTTTTACCGTCGTCAAGATTACAGCTCCTTCCCCATGATGTTCATCATTTTCCATGTTCTTCGCAGCAAGGCTATCCTGCTCGACCTCCAATGTTGAAGAACCAGTAACGAAAGCACCAGATGAATTTTTAGCACTCACTTCCGCAACGGTGCTGAACATAACAACTTTTTTGCCTTTTCCCCGTGCCGCCCGTTTCTTCTTCGCCGGCGACGTCGTGGAGGAGGTGCTAGTCGTGGTCGCGATCGTGGTCTGTTGTTGTTCTTGCAGTTTCAATAAAGGCGATCTACTGCTTCCTTTCGTAAAATCGCGCTCACCTCTGCTCGAGTCCACTCCTGATTTCTGAAGATCGGAAACCCGATCAGGAGATACCAAACCATCACGGTGTAATAAAATGCTAGACCCTGACGCTGAGTGGAGTCCGTCTACCTTCTTCTGTGGCTGTTCTTGTTGCGATGAATCATGAGTGTGCTGATGTTGTTTGTGTTTCATGAAAGGATCTTCGTAGTTCATCTTCGTATCTTCTTCTTGCGTCCCCTGCCCACCATGAACAGGAACTGCGGAAGAACTAATAATCGAAGTTGCTGTGGTTGATGAAAGAGGGAGAGGTGGACCTGCAGGACGCAGCACCAGCGAAAAAGACGTAAGACGAGCAAGATCATCATGATCTTCGACAACGCGACTACTTCTATTTGATGGCCCTTTCTGTACTGCTTGCGCTTTTTCTACTAGCGGCGGACGAGGAGGACTCTCCTCATACGCAAAGTATTCATCTGGTTCAACTAGTGAGTATTTTGCTAAACCAGTATCACCACTCGGCTTGGCGAAAGACGCGGCCACATCACGATACAGCTGCTGCAAAACATTATTTCTATCATCACGCTGCACCCTTACACCTTTACTCTTTGCTTCCTGTTTAATCTTTTGCCACTCCACGCGTACAGCGAGCTCTTTTTCTAGTCGATTCTTCCATGACACGGCATTCTGATCATCAAGCATCCCTAGAGCTACTAACTCAGCCGCTGTCGTCGCGTCAACATTAGTTTTGTGTCCACCAGCCTCCACGACGTTCCGTTCTGCTTCGTCCTGACTTTCTAATCTGTGACCAAGATCTTTGCCATCTGAAAGACAGCCAGCACCTTCCAACTTTCGAGTCGTAGTTTTGTCCTTGCTGCTGGAAATCACGCCGCCGAGAGATTCACTGCTTAGCGTCAACAAGTTCACTTGCTCGCCCGGCGTGGAGAAACTAACTCTACCTCTGCTAGTAGATGAAGCTGCTTCCGGCGCATTGTAGATGAAGTTGTAACTACTACCCAACAAGGAACTACAGGCACCTGATGCCATCTTATCGACACCAGAAGCATTTTCCTCAGGCTTCTTGCAGCTAAGAGAGACGACCGCATCAC